TAGTTGCTTGCATGACGTCACTAACTGCCTCCCAGGAGGTGTCGGTCGGCGTCCTCCTCCTTCCTCGTCCTCCTGCACTGTCTTCTGTCGCCTGCCCTCTCTCTCCCCCCTGCCTTCCCCCCTTCCCCTCCCCCCTCCTCATCCTCTCCTCGGCGTCCTCCGCCCTCCTCTCTCCCTCCTCCTCCTCCTCTTCATCCGACACCCCTTCTGCCCCCCTTCTCTGCGCCCCTCCTCCCTCCCCCCCCGCCCCCCCCCCCCCTCCTCCCTCAGATGTCATTGGTGGTCCACACCCCCTCCTCCCTCCCCTCACCCAGCCCCCCTCCCCGACCCCTCTCTGCCTCCCCCCCCCCTCCCCTCGCCCTCCCATGCCTCCCTCTCACCCGTCTCCTCTCTCCTCCATCCTCTTCCTCCTCCTCCTCCTTTAGTTGCTGTATGCGTCACTAACTGCTCTGCTCCCAGAGGTGTCGGTCGGTCGGGCCTCCCCTCCCCTCCTGCAGTCCTCCCCTCCTCCTCCTACCTCCCCTAACTCCCTCCATCCTCCCTCCCTCCCCCCTCCTCCCTCCCTCCCTCCTCCTCCTCCTCCTCCTCCTCCTCGTCCTCCTCCGTAGCCATTTTGGCTCAAGGTTGTTGCACCGAGGGGGCTCCGCGCCTCCGTGCCAAACTGGGATAGCTCTGTCTCCCGAGCCAGTCTGAAGTGCTTTTGTGAGCTCCTGTCGGAGCATACTTTGTGAGCTCCTGCAGGAGCGGATGATCAAGTATGGCAAGCAGGGCTTCTCCACTTGCGTGCAGTGTGGCAACTGGGCGTGGAATTGGAGGCTCAAGAAGCAGAAAAGGGTGTGCGCAGTCTGCAACACCCCTCAGCCAGGATGGAGTACTACGTCGAGCGGCACGTGGTGGGCGCCGTGGTCCTCGGGCGGTGGATGGCATGACCATGGGCAGTCTCAGCCGTCTCTCGCCAACTTCGGGGACTACCTGTCGAAGGCTCTCGCTGGTGCAGGTCTCGATGGGGACCCAGACGCGGCGCGCCTTGCGACGGAGTTCAGCACCCTGGCGTCCCAGAAGCTCGTGGCGGCCCCTGCGCCGCCGCCCAAGCCCCAGCATGCTCTGCTCAAGGAGGCTACGGCGGATTGCTCTCGCAAGCAGGAGGCTGTGGAGAAGGCCGCGAAGAAGCTGGAGCAGTCCCGCCTCCAGCTTCAGAAGGACCAGGCCAAGTTCGACGAGGCGGCGGACGCTGTCTTGGCCGCCGATCTGCACCGTCTGGAAGTGCAGGAGGCGGCGAACCCGCCCGAGGCGGCCACCAATCAGTCGGGCTTTGCCTTGGACCCTGGGCTGTTCGAGTGCCTCGATGAGCTGGAGGAGTCCGACAGGCAGGCGCTGGAGCATTTCCAGAAGCAGCTGGAGGAGGTCACCCAGCTGATCGACGCCAAGCAGAAGGAATTCCAGGACTTGCTGGATCGCACGAGGTCGGCGCACACGGCGGCGGCGGCCAAGCGGCGCAAGCGCGGCGCCGATGGCGAGGCCGTTGCTGGCGGCGGCGCCGAGGGCACGCCTGCGGCGTGCGGCGCCGCTGCGGCGCCTGGCGCCGCTGCTGCCGCTGCTGGGCCCAGCAAGGCGAAGGTCGTGGTGCAGGAGAGCGACCAGAAGGCCATGCTGGAGCGCATCAAGAGCTGCGCCCAGGAGCAGGCGCGTGCGGCCGTTGATGGCAAGGCCGCGGGCGCTGGCAAAGGCGGCAATGCGGGCGCTGGCAAGGGCGTTGCGGCTGCTGGTGTTGGCGCAGGCCGTGTTTAGCATGGCTCACTCCCCGTCCTGCAGGGGGGAAGCTGCAGGCGTACCTCAACCAGAGTCTGCTGACGACACGTCCTTGGACATCTTTTTCGGCAACATCACGGAGTGGGGCCCGCAGGCTGCGCGTTTCTTAGCCCAGGAGCAGGAGCGCAGCATCGTGGCCCTAGTTGAGACACACAAAGGAGAGAAGGACATGCCAGACATCTGCCAGGCGATTGATAAAGACGGCTGGCGTCTGGCTTACACGGCCGCCCGCCCTTCGGGCAAGTCAGAGGCTGGCTTGTCTGGTGGCGAGTGGATTCTGGCGAAGAAACATGTTGCGACGTCGAGCTTTGAGAGTGCTCGGCGAACGGCGCTCGCTGCTGGGCGCCTGGACCCTTGCCGTGGCTTTGTGCCGACGGTGATCCACACCAGGGGCGGCAACTTGATCCTGGTCGCTGCCTACCTCCAGCCAGGCCTCGGCGTGAAGGGCTGGAACCATGACGCGCTGGTGGCGCTGGGGGCTTTCACGCGCGCGCTCGCGGACCCCTGGCTGGTGATGGCGGACTGGAACATCGAGCCCGCGGCCTTGCGAGGCACTGGTTGGCCCCAGAAGCTCGGCGCCGTCGTGGCGACGCCGTCCTGCCGAGCGACCTGCGACAACGGGCCAGGGCGCATGTACGATTATGGTCTTGCCAGTGTTGGTTGTCCAGAGTTGTCGCTCTGAGCTGAGTTGCGTGTGCCATGGAAGACACACTGCGGAGTGGTTGTTACTGTGAAGGCTGCCCGTTCTCAGCGATGGTATAGGCACCTGGCAGTGCCCAAGCCTCTTCCCGTTCGTGATAGACCCGCTGCAGTTGCTGATCCCGTGAGTAAGCGGTCTAAAAAGAGAGAAGAGCAGAGGCAGAGGCGCACGCAGGCGCTTCCCATCGAGTTCCAGGAGGGCTTCGACGAGCTGGAGCCGTCAGCGCCTCCGCCAGCGCCCACTGTGTCGTTCGCCATTCCTGAGGAGACTTGGTTTGAAGCTCAGACACAGGTGCATTGGGAGGGCCTTCCCCAGCTGTTTGAGGATCAGCCAGAGGGTGCCCGTGGCAAAGTTGCAGCTTTCGACCGCAGTCAGCACTTTGTCTTTGAATGGCAACCTGAGGAGCGCGCTCGGCTGGATGAGTCCTACGGAGCTTGGATTTCTACATTGGAACGTGCCACTCTGATTCGCGAGCAGGTCGATGCTAGTACTTGGATGCAGTTCTCAGGTCGTGCTCGTGGCCCTGCTTGCTATTGGGCCAAGGTCACTTCCTCCCCAGGGCGCGCTCACATGAAGAACGAGCAGGCCGAGTGGTGGGGTGTTCTCAGCACTTTGTTTTTTCGGCATGCGGCTCTCCGTGTTAATGGTGCTGATCCTGATCGGGCTGCTTACTGTGCACGTGAAGTACAGGCCAGGATTGGAGTCTTGCCTGCTGATAAGACGGTCGAGTACTTCGGCAAGAAGTCCACCGCTGAGGAGGTTGAGTTGTGGAAAGCTATGGCTGCTGATGTGGATCGCGTCCCTGTTGGCCAGCTCACTTCCTTGGTGGGCACCACGCGCAAGTGGGCGGACTTGTCGACTTCTCGGGCTTTGTTAGCTTCGCGCTCGTCCTTTGTCAAGTGGGTGAAGGAGTCCTGGTCATCTAAGCCTGGTGCTGTACATCGGCATGTGAAGCAGGCTCCGCCCTTGGAGTGGGAGGGCCGCGACGCGGCAGGCGCTATCACCACGGACAAGCAGATGATGCTCCAGACGTCTGCCTCTGAATGGAATGCGATGTGGCGAGATCCTGTCGATCAGCCTGCAGATATTGTGTATATGATGGGCCAGTGTCTGTCAGCTGCTCGAGATGACCCACTTCCTGATATCACCATCATGGACGTGGACGCTGTGCTGCCCACGCTGCCAGCGAAGAAGGCGAAGGGCGTGGGCGTGCTGAACCCCATTGATATTCAGCGACAGCCATTGGTGGCAAGGCAGTGTCTTGTGGATATATTGAATAATATCGAGCAGGCTGGCGCCTGGCCGTCGTCCCTCAGCTCGGTCCTGGGTGCTGCGATTCCCAAGGAAGCTGGAGGCAACAGAGTGTTGGGGCTGGTTCCGACGCCGCACAAAATATGGTCAAAGGTGCGCGCGAAACACTCAGGTGAATGGTCAGCTGCCCAATCTGAATTTTGGGATACTGCTATTGCTGGGTCTTCAGCGCTCAGAGCGGCACTGATTAGAGCTGTGATGGATGAAGGCGCCAACGCCTTGTCCTTTGAGCATGCGACGCTGTTCTTGGACCTCACTAAGTTCTACGACTCGGTGTCTTTCGTGTTGCTGATGCAGGCTGGCTTGAACATCGGATTTCCAGCAATCATCCTCTTATTGGAAGTGGGGCTTTACTCTTCTCCCAGGCTGTTGAAGAAGGGCCAGATGATATCGGACGCCTTGGTGGTTTCACGTTCGATCGTCGCAGGTTCTGGACATGGCGTCCCGCTCGCCAAAGTTATGCTTCATCAGTTGCTGGATGAGGTTCACCGTGCTTGTCCCCCGACTGGATTGTGGAGTTATATCGATGATATTGTCGGTCGGGCGGAGGGCAACAAGCAGCAGGTGATTGATAATTTGGACGCTTCTGCTGACGCTATGGCCACTGGGCTCAAGAAGCTCAGGTTGAAGATTTCTGACAAAACGAAGCTTGTCGCCAGTTCTGATGAGATTGGTGTGGAGTTACAGCGCCGACTGGTTCGCAAAGGTATCCCTGTGCAGTTTGTGCGCTCCACTGTCGACTTGGGCTCTGCTGCTGCAGGGCGACGGCGGACAGCGCCTCGGATGATGAAACGACGTGCGCAGGCTCGACGGCGGCAGCGAAAAGTTATGCGTTTGAGGCAGCTTCCCAAGACCAGGTTCATCACCAAGAAGCTCTACACCACTGGAGTGTGTACCCGCTGCAGTCTTTGGCCATCAGATAATGGGCACCCCTCCATCTTCTCTGTTGGCTTTGAGGCGGGATGCTGCAGCGAGTGTTGCTGGGTCGAAGCGTGGCAGGTGTTTGAATTCGGTTTTACAAGCTGTGTTTGGGGTTGCTGATCCTGGCATAGATTTGAGGAAGCAGATGATTAAGGAGTGGATTGCTTTGTGGCTTTCCCAGCCGATGCTCCATCCTCGCATTCGCAAGATGTGGCCGATCACACTGGCGAAGTTGCGTCGTGGCGCTGCTGAGCGACAGGTGGTGAAGTGGAAGGATGTGCGCGGCCCCATCGCCGCGGTGCAGGCCGCGCTCTTGCAGATCGGCTGGGATCCGCAAAGTCCTGATGTCTGGTCACGTCCTTTGCCAAATGATACGATCGATGAGTGGCTGTTTCCTGCTTTTGGCGATGAGCAGTTCGCTACAGCTGTTCCTTCGCATTTTGAGGATATGCTCGGCGCCTTCATGGATGATTGTTCAGCTGCAGTGGAAGGAAGCGGCCCACCATGAGGCGGGCGAGGATCTGGCAGCAGGAGCGGACATGACGACGGTGCAGATTGAGCTGAACCGCCTGGCTGCCAAGTCCAAGTTCGACGAGTGGGCCGCCGACATTGCCGTCATCTCGGGGGGCCAGTGGACCTCGTGAGCGGCAGATTGCCGCAGGATATTCCTGCCCGCCGCTTTGCCCCCGATGTAAGGAGCAGCCTGAGATTTTAGCTCACCGCATTTGGCTATGCCCAGCCAATTGCGGACACGAAGATTTTTCAAAAACTGATTTTTTGACCCCCCAGGCCCTCGCGGGCCTTGAGGCCCAGCCGGCCTCGTGGCTCAGGGGAGTGCCCTCGAAGGACCTCACGGTGCCTAGGTTTGCTGAGACTGCGGAAACGGCCCAGGAGGTCCTTCTGGGGGATGGCTGTATTGCCGATTTCTGCTCGGAGCCTGGAGGCCCTCCTGTGTTTATCTTCGGTGACGGATCTGGGGGCGAGTTCAGCTCTGATCCCAGGCGTAGGCGATGCGGCTCGGCTGTGGTGATGATGTGCCAGGACCCCTCGTCGCCTAATTCTTGGGTGCCTCAGTGCGGTGTACGACAGGTTTTGTTAGGCCGTCGGCAAACGGTCCCTAGAGCAGAGCTCCAGGCCTTCTGTCTCGCGCTTGAGCACTCGCATGGTCCGTTATGCTATATTACCGACTGCAAGAGTTTGCTTTCTGATTGGCACGGTGGCCGTGCCTCCTCCCCTCGGGGCCCGAACGGGGACTTGTGGGTTCGTGCTTCTCGGGCTCTCCGCTCCCGTGGCCCTGGGGAGGTTTCGCTTTTCTGGACGCCCTCCCACATGGAGGAAAATCTGCGGTCGGTAACTTCCCCGTTTGATATTTTATGTGCCAGGGCAACGCCAGTGCCGACGCCTATGCGGGGGTGGTGGCCCAGTGGTCCTGGGATTGGTGCGTGGTGGCCCCTCCCCCTCGGACTGACCTGTGGGATACGACGGCGGCACTGGTGCGTAGAAGGGCCAGAAGGGCGATGATGCTGGCGCTCGAGGTTGAACCTTGGGAAGGGGTCAGAGCTCCGCCAGCGCCCAAGGTCCGCAAGCCCACTAAACTCGACCATGCGATCCGCGATAGTGCGCACAAGTTTCGCCCGTTCGCTGGTCGCTGGCGTTGCGATGTGCGCAGGGCGATTGTCCCGAGGGGCCAGGTGCTCGTTGTTGCCTCGACCCCGTGCCGCGTTCCGATCCCGTCGCTGCCGTCGGATTTGGCTGAAACGCTGGGTTTGGGCCCTGAGTTTGGTGAGGGTTTCGAGGCGATCTCGGGAGAGGTGTGGGTTGGCGCTGTGAAGCTTCACCACAGCCACCGCCTCGCCAAGATGTGTGCTTTCGGGCTGACCTTCTGTCAGCGATGTGGTATCACAGCCACGACAGACGGTCGGTGGCTTCAGAGAGGGTGTGCCCCCCCCACTCGAAAGGGGGGCGAAAACCTCAAGAGGATTAAGAAGGGTGTTTTTCCGTCTTATCGGGGCCCACCCGTGGCCTTGCGCGAGGCGGCGGCGCTGGATGCTGCTGCGCGAGCCCTCCCGCCACCCCCTCGGGAAGGAACTGGGGGCGTGGGTGGTGCCGTGAGGCCAATGGAGGAGAGGCCCATTTTTGATGAGTATGTGGCCCGCTCGTCCGATCGCCCTGTCGGAGAGCTGGCCGACGTGATGACGGTCTGCGAGGACGCCCCACCCGTGGGCGAGGACGCGGCTGCTGCTTTTGCTGCCGCTGCCGCTCGCTTGCATGAGGAGAATGAGCTTGAGGAAGTCGCTGCCCAGCTCAGAGCCCAGGGTCAGGGGCAGACAGTGCTCGCTGGTGCTCGTGCGCAGGGGTTGGGCAGCGGTGGTGATGATAGCGGTGACAGCGATTGAACTGGCCACGCGTGTGGCATCGCAGCATGATCCTCCTCCTCCTCCTCCTCCTCCTCCTCCTCCTCCTCCTCCTCCTCCTCCTCCTTCTCCTCACATCATCAGGATGGAGAGTGGGTCCCGGGGAAAAGGCCCGGGGTCCAGTACCGGGGCGGCTAAGAGGGGGGTGATGATTAGGGGGGGTGGATGTCATGGCGTGGGCCATGATGTTTCCCCAGATTTCAGGGCGCCTCTTCTTATTTCATTACAGTCGGGGCCCTGAAGAAGGAACCCTTTTCGTTGTGGAGGGGCTCGGTGCTCCTTGATTGTTCTGCAGTTTGCCTTCGGTTTTCCTGAGGTTTCCCATGGGAAATCGAAGTTTAACTTATGGGAAAAAGGGGCCTCGTTCCTTATTTAGGGTTTCTTGGGTCAGCGCCCCGACGGTATTTCATTACGTCCCTGGCCCCCCCTTCTGGGCCGCGCACATGCCGCCTGCCATGATTTGTACCCCCCCCCCTCCTGGACGCCCCTCTCTTGGCCGCCCCCGAGAAAGGAGCGTCCGGTCGGACCGAGGCATGAGGTCGAGGTCGGTTCGGGAAGGGCACCCTAACGTTCTTCTTGCTTGTTGGATGTTCTTGTGCATCCGGTGGGAGAGTATCCTCGAGAGGTCTTATGGCTTGGGGCGTTTTGGCTGGCGGAGGGTCCATTTTTTTGAAGGATGTTCTTCTGTTCTAGGTCTGGCCGTACTTCGGAGAAGGAAAAGGTGCCCATACATCGGCCACGCGCAGAGGGGGGTATGGGGGATGGGGGAAGGTTTCTTAGAAGCACCCGTGCTTTTGAGAAGGCGCGGGCCTTGTCTGTAGATGTAGGGCTGGTGCCTTCTAAGAGGCAGCCTTCTTCTAAGAAGCCTTCCCCCTCCCCTTCTCCCACTACCCCCCTCCTGCGCGCCGACAAGTACCACTGCCCTTTCCTCGCTTCCCCTTTCTAGGCCTCCTGGGAAGCCCTCGTCGCCACCGCTGGACTCGCCTCTGAATTTTGGCCAGAGCGCAACCTGGGAGAGGTCTGAGGAGTAGCAGTATCGGCACCTTCTGTGGTGTCCCCAGTATTCCATGAGATCTGGGCGTTGCAACTGTTGTTCACGCGGGGCGTTTTTTCGCTTGGTTTCGGGGCCCGTGACCATCACAGGTCCACCCGGCTCGAAAAGTGCCGCGGAAAGATGCGGTCGGGGGCTCCGGTCGCGTTTCTGTCCGCAGGGTTGCAGTTTTCGCAACGTCGGATCTCAGGGTCGTGGGTACTTTAGGGGGAGTTCTTGTCCTGATGAGGTTGGTTCCTGAAGGTTCTCTTGCCCCTCCTCCTCCTCCTCCTCCTTCCTCCTGGTTCCTGAAGGTTCTCTTACCTCTGGATGACTTCCAACTTTCCTCTTGCCTCTCCTCCTCCTCCTCCTGCTCCTCCTGCTTCTTCTCCTCCTCCTCCTCCTCCTGCTCCCTCCTCCTGCTCCTCCTGCTCCTCCTCCTCCTTCCTCATCCTCCTCCTCCTCCTCCTGTCTCCTCCTCCTTCCTCCTCCTCCTCCTTCCTCCTGTCTCCTCCTCCTTCCTCCTCCTTCTCCTCCTCCTCCTTCCTCCTTCCTCCTGTCTCCTCCTCCTGCCTCTAGAATGGCCTCCAACTGTCCGAGTTTCCCGGGGGGCTCCCAGGCCTCCGACGCGGCGGCGAGAAGCAGGACGGGTTTCGGCTCGCGTTTTTTTCGGTCTCCGGGGGCCCTCGCCGGGCTTTTGCTGGGAGCGTAAAGTTACCCAAGATTTCGTAGTAAAGGGAGGGGGGTCTCATTTCGGGGGGGGGTCTCTTCCAGGCTATCTTGGAGGGCCTGGGGGGTCTGGGGACGATGTTTTGGAGGGTTCTCCCACGGGGGAGGTCTGAAATGGCTTGTCTTGGAGGGTCCAGACCCCCTCCCTTTTATTACGAAATCTGGAGTACCCCATCCATCCTGATAGCAGCAACGGTGAAGCGGCGGGACGGGGAGTATGAGGTCGACTGGTGAAAGCGTGCATGTCCAGGAATGCCTGAGGACTCCTAGGAAACTCACGCTCATGAGCACCGCAGTGTATGTTCTACAAGGGATCGTGGCCGTCTAGACCAACAACGCAGCCGGCATTGAGGCGAGAGTGCGATGTCTGAGGTAGATTGTGAAGTCTCAGGCGAACCGGTTGCCGGGCTGGGCGGTCCAGGGCTCCCCGTCCCCGTCGTGGGACTCTTCTGTAGTCTTCACCGCTGCTAGAACCCGTGAGCCAAACGCCATTACCCTCACGAAGCCATTAAGACCCCCCCCCCTTCCGGTGAAACAATCACGCACCAAGCACCCTGGAGCGGTATCTTGGCACCCAGGGATTTGGCCGTTGAGTCGCATTCCTCTGGAGCCGCCAGCAACCTTCGAAAGTGGCGAGGAGGAGGAGGAGGAAGAATTCCCACCGATAAGCTGCGGACGGGAATTCATACTACTCAAGCAGCTTGCTAACAACAACAACAACAACAACTACTACTACTACTACTACTACTACTACTACTACTACTACTACGTGTACTACTACTACTACTACTAATACTACTACTCCTACTACTACTACTACTACTACTACTACTACTCCTACGATCACTACTGCTACGACGACTACCACTACTACTACTACGACTACGACTTCGACTTTTATTTCTACTACTACTACTACTACTACTACTACCACTACTACGACTACGACTACTACTACTACTACTACTACTACTTCTACTACTACTACTACTACTACTACTACTACTACTACTACCACTGCTCCTACGTCTAATAATACTACTGCAATGGCTGCTTGTTCTACTCATACTATCAATATTACTACTACTAATACTTCTACTACTACTTCTACTACTACTACTACTACTACTACTACTACTACTACTACTACTACGACGCCTACTACTAGTACTTCTACTACTACTGCTGCTAGTACTACTACTACGACGGCTACTTCTACTATACTATTACTTCCAACACTATTGATACTACGATTTCTAGTCCTACTACTACGACGGCTACCATTTTTATTATTACCACTACCATTACTATTGTTGCTACGATCACAATTGCAACTACGACTGCAACTATCACTACTACTACTGCTACTACTTCTATTATTACTGGTACGACTATGGCTACGACTACGACTGCTATTATCATTTCTACTACTACTGCTGCTGCTATTACTACTACGACTACTACTACTACT